ATGTCAGGTTCGAGAAGTTTCGATCTTCCGCAAGAACTTCTTCAAGTCTTACCTTCCGATCCATTCGAACAGCTAGATGTTGCTCGTAAAATCACATCCATTGCTTTATCGACACGTGTCTCCGCTCTCGAATCAGAGTCGTCGGATCTCCGTGAACTCGTCGCCGAGAAAGACAAAGAAATCGCCGACTTACAATCTCACGTTGAGTCTCTCGAAGCTTCTCTTTCCGATGCTTTTCATAAGCTTTCTATCGCCGACGGTGAAAAGGTCCGACCAAAGTTTGACTTCCGACATAAAAATCGTTTCTTTTTCTTGTTGTTGTTTTCTGCAAATTATTCAGAAAAATCTCAAAAATTTTGCAGGAGAATCTGGTAAGAGAGAATTCTTCGTTGTCTAATACTGTCAAGAGGCTACAAAGAGATGTCTTAAAGGTTAAATCTTTGACTCAAAAATTTCTAATTTTAGCAATTTTGGGAGCTTGAAAGATCTTATTTCAATGGAGGTTACATTTGTAATTACAGCTTGAAGGTTTCAGGAAGACACTAATGATGTCTCTTCAAGATGATGATCAAAATGTATGAAACTTTAATCTATTCACTTTTGTTCAAATTGGTTTTGAATAATATAAAGTTCATATCTTTAATTTGATTATCTATTATGATTATGAACAGGCAGGAACAACACAAATCATTGCGAAACCAACACCAAATGGTATATTACTTGTGAAATATTTGTGTTCATTGTGACAAAAAAATGTAATTTGTTTGTGAAATTTTTCAGATGAAGATTCTCCATTTCAACCTTCGAAACATTCATCAATCCAATCTCAAGCTTCGGAAGCTATCGAATCAGCTACAATTGATGTCGAAAACGAAGGTAAATCAATTCCAATTCTCTATCTAATCTAGCCACTAAATTTTTGTGTTTGTGTGTAATAATGGTTTAAGTTTTTTTCGTATAATATCGCAGCTCCTAAATCGAGTTTATCGAACAGTGTTCCATTAGTATCTCAAACTACTACTCCTCGGMTTACTCCGCCTGGTTCTCCACCTACATTATCTGCTTCTACTACGCCGAAGACGACTTCGAGACCTATTTCTCCTCGACGACATTCTGTTTCATTCTCTACTACAAGAGGCATGTTTGATGATAATAGATCTTCTATTTCAATCTCAGAGCCTGGATCCCAGACCGGTAAGTTAAAACTATGATTCTCCTTGTGAGGGGTTTTGAAGTAATACAAATTTGTTAACGGTTTTTGTGGTTTCAGGACGAACTCGAGTTGACGGTAAAGAGTTCTTCCGACAAGTCAGGTAAAAAGACTAATCTTTTAAACGGAAAACAAAACTTTCTATAGCATGTGTTCATCTTGTTGTTGGCTCTTGATCAGGAGCCGGTTATCGTACGAACAATTTGGTGCATTCCTTGGAAATGTGAAAGATCTTAACGCCCATAAGCAAACAAGAGATGTAAGGAGATTA